TCCGCCGAAAACTAAAAAAAAATAAATATTAAAATTCTCTCTCTCGCTCTCTTTAAAAAAAAATAAATAAAAAGTATCCAAAAAAAATTAGCAATCTGTTACTAAACAGAATGGAAATAATAATACTGGGATATACCATAAACAATGTCTGCTTTTAATTCCTAATATTACATTTAAAAATAGCATATGGATTAATGAAGTATGAAACTTATGCAGAGCTGTCACTGGAGTTAAAATAACATCTATGGGCTGGGGATGTGGCTCAAGCAGTAGCGCGCTCGCCTGGCATGCGTGCGGCCCTGGTTCGATCCTCAGCACCACATACAAACAAAGATGTTGTGTCTGTCGAAAACTGAAAAATAAATATTAAAAATTTTAAAAAATAAAAAATAAAAATAAAATAACATCTAAAAATGTGGACTCACAAATAATTTTCCCAGATGGAAAGCAATACCACACCAAAAAAAAAAAAAAATCAACATTTTACATTAATATATAAATTAACCTAAGTCAAACTAGAACCCCTAAGAGAGAATGAGGATTCTAAATAAATAAATGTTTGGATTCTGAATTTTCTCTTCCTTTCTTAGAAAGGAATTCCCCAAAGCAACAAACACATTAGAAGACGTTAGATGCTGATGATACAGTGGCTAACCTAGCAAAGCAAACACAAAATTACCCCAGAGATTTTCACAGAAGAAAAAAATAAATCAACTAAAGACTCTCCCACAACCAAAAACTTTGACTCACACAAAGAAAAAGAACATAGCATCAGCAAACACTAACATATATTATATAGAAAATAGAAATGTTAGTACCCCTAAGAACCCCATAATTGTAAAATCTGAAGTTATAAAAAGTCTAAAGCTAGGCTGAGGTTGTGGCTAAGTGGTAGAGCACTTACCTAGTATGTGAGGCACTGGGTTTGATTTTCAGCACCACATATACATAAATAAAATAAAGGTCCATCAACAACAAAAAAATATTTTAAAAAAAAGTGTTTTAAAGCTATATATTTAGGGTTAGGAATGCAGCTCACTGGTATAGCTCTTACCTCTGGAATGCACAAAGCCCTTGGTTGATACCAAGCACCTCCACTTCTCCCACCCCCAAAAAAGTTTGCTTTAAATGATTAAAGAATTAGGTGGAAAAAGAAATATCATAGGAAAAAAGAGTACCATTAAAAAACGACCAAACAACAACAACAAAAAAAAACCCAAAGTAGACCTTAAAATGAATCAAATAGACATAGAAAAAAATACAAGCCCTGAAATCAAATATTCTAGAAGAATTAAACAGCAAATGAGAGAAAGCAAAACATATGATGAGTCAATCAGAAAACCATTTTAAGAAAATTATCTAAAACACAATGTTACAGAGAAAGAGATAACAAAATATGTAAAACAGATTATGACAAATCAGGGCAGAATGAGGTGCTCCTGTACAGGTTTAACTAGGATTCCAGAAGAAAATAACTGTAGAGAGTGTCTCATTACTGAGAAGGTCAAAAGAAGGACTTCAGTAATGGTCCTCAACTCTAGCTGTATCTTGGAAGCATCATCAATAAAGTTAATAATTTTTTTTTTTAGAGAGAGAGAGAGAGAGAGAGAATTTCAATATTTATTTTTCAGTTTTCAGCGTACACAACATCTTTGTTTGTATGTGGTGCTGAGGATCGAACCGGACCGCACGCATGCCAGGCAAGCGCGCTACTGCTTGAGCCACATCCCCAGCCCCTCAATAAAGTTAAAAAAAAAAAAAAATTACTTAGGTCCCCACCCTCAGAGATTTTGGAATTGGTGTGCAATAGGACAAGGCATCTGTGTTTTTTTTTCAATGTTTCCAAGTTATTTTCAGGAACATACAGGGTTGAGAACCAGTGATCCATACCTAGACATAGCTAATGAAACCATAGAATAAAAAGAGAAAAATGTTAAAAATAGCTAGGGAAGACAAATAGAATGAATTTAACAAAATTATACCATACTCATATATAAAGAAACCAGAGGAAATTTCACTTTTAAGTATATGCAGAAGAAAAGAAGTTTAATAGAGTAGAGAAGAGAGAATAGGGGGAGGGCAGAAGGGTGGAAAAAGCAGGTAAAGGGGCTGGAAATCAAATTTCTTGCATGTATGATTTTGTCAAAATGAACCCAATTTCTATGTATAATTATGATGCTCTAATAAAAAATTTTTAAATAACTAGCAAGAAGTAACACTATCAGATAGGTAGTCTGACTGCTCAGTAATGACAGCCAAAAGAAAAACAGAATAGTAAATTCAACAAGAAAATAACAGTCACCTTAAACAGTCAACTATCATTCAATATCATTTAATAGTGGTAATGAAACAGACACTTCTAGTCAAAGTCTAAGAAAGCTTACCACTTAAAAGGCTCTATTAAAGCTAGAAACACAAAGAACCTAAAGTGAAATGGGGTATATAAGAAGAAATCCAAAACAAACACAAAACTGTTAAAATTCACATCCATATCTCATTTTTCCTCACTAAATCATTACCCAAAATATGAGTCTTTCTGGTGGTCTATCCAATAGTTCACAAACATGACTGGACAAAATAACCAGAGGATCTAGCACGGTGGCACACATCTGTAATCCCAGCAGCTTAGGAGGCTGAGGCAGGTGAATTGAAAGTTCAAAGCCAGCCTCAGCAACTTAGCAAGACCCTGTCTCTAAATAAAATATTTAAAAGGGCAGGGAATGCGGCTCAGTGGTTAAGCGCCCCTGGGTTAAATCCCTAGTAATAAATAACCAACAAGATGTTTTAAAATAAGAATATGTGGCCTCACTCAGGATGTAGTTTAACCTTAAGAAGTAAAAGCAAAAAAGCTTTTAAAAGTCCGCCAGATCAAGAGGATAATCAGGTTTATGAACTTCATATACCAGCCTTTCTTTCATCCAGTAGTTCTCAATATGATTCCTAAAATGCAATATTAGTATTTTGCAGATTCTCAGGATGCATTCCAGACCTTCTGAATTAGAAATGCTCAGAGTGAACTTAGCAACTGTCTTAACAGCACCCCCAACAATTCTAATGTGAGCTTAACTTTTAGGAAATCTGCTTTAGACTCAATGTCCATACTATTAATCTGTTTATACTTTCACATGAACAAATCCACTGCTGTTACCCTACCTACAAAATCATTCCATTTAGTCCTTTAGAAAACTGTACTATAAGCCCAGTGACTTGAGGCTGAGGCAGGAGGGTTGCAAGTTCAAAGCCACGTCAGCAACTTTTTATTTTTTAGAACCAGATATGGAACCCAGAGGTGCTGAACCCCAAGCCACATTCCCAGCCCTTTATTATATTTTATTTAGAGAAAGGGTCTGGCCAAGTTGCTTAGGACCTCACTGGGTTGCTAAGGCAGGCTTTGAATTCATGATCCTCCTGCCTCAGCCTTCCAAGCCACTAGAATCACAGCCTTGTGCCATGGTGGCCAGCTGCCTCAGCAACTCAGCAAGTCCTTAAGCAACTTAGCAACACCCTGTCTTAAAATTAAAGGCGTGGGGTGTGTGTGTGTGTGTGTGTGTGTGTGTGTATAGCTGGAGGTGTGGCTCAGTGCCCACCCCCCCCCCATTCGATCCCTGGTTAACAATAGCGGGGAGAGGGGGCCCTGTAGCACAGTTAATCAATTCCCAAGCATTCTTAGAGTTTGTTTTCATTCTTTTGCTAGCTGATTAAAACTGACCAATTCTCTTACAGAGTCCTCAGGTAGAGGCTGTTCATTCTCCCAAACACCATGTCAGCTCATAAAAGAGAGATCTATTCATTCCCTATATTATTCCAAAAAGATCCAGATAAAAATTCTCCTTTTTGAGACTGGGGTTGTAGCTCAGTGGTAGAGCTCTTGCCTCACATGTGAGGCACTGAGTTTGATCCTCAGCACCACATAAAAAAATAAATTAATTAAAGGTATTGTGTCCATCTACAACTAAAAATATATTTTTTAAAAACTCCATTTTTTATAGATTTCTTCATTCCCATGGTTTCCACTGTCAATTGTTTGATACCAAGAACCAAATTTCTCTTGTGCTGTTGAGATCAGGAAACCACTGCTGTGTGACATCTCTATTTGATGTTCCACAGGAACCTCAAACTCAATATATACAAATCTGAACCTACTACATTCTTCTATATTCTCTGATAGAAATGAACAGCACACCACTCATCTAATTATCAAAGTCCAACTCTAAAAGCCTAGAAGTCAATTGATAGAATCCCTTAAACATTCAATTAATTACCAATTACTGTCAATTTTACCTTCTACAAGTTCTCCAATGCGCTCCATCACAACTGTCACTGCCACCACTTCACTAAGTTACCATCCCTTATTAAGATTACAGAAATGGCCTCTTAATTGCCCCCTCTCTTTCCAGTACTGCACTCTTCCATCCCATTTTGCAACCTTCACATTTCAAAAGCAGTTGTTTTAAAATCAAGTGGTATCCTGTGCCTCATGTAGTCTATATGAAGTATGTAGGCTGTAGTATGTAGTATGTAGACTACATGAAGTATGTGTGGTATGTAGACTACATGAGGCTGAGGGTACTTATAGCTCAGTGGTGGAGCACATCCTGGGAGTTCGATACTTGGCATACCCCCACCAAACAAGAGTTATAGTTTTAATACTTCTATTCCAAGTCCATCATCATTCAACACAGATCTTAAATCTAGCTCCCTTTCGCTCAGTAGTTCTTGATCACAAACTCATCAATGATAGTTTTATCACAACTATGTAACACAAATCAATAAAAAAGGAATTATCAAATTAGATTCAAAGGAATCCTTAAAACTTAAAGAGAGCTATAACTGGTGATTTCATCTACATAAACAGTGCAGTATCTCAATACAACAAATTTTTAGTTTATATTATAAACAGTATCACTTCAACATGTTCATAAGATAAGCAAAGTAAGAACACTATTAAAAAATTAAAACTCATAAAAAGAAAATATTTGGAAAAGAAAATTAAAACTTACCATACACACCTGTAGAAGGAGTAGAATTGTTCATGGTAGAAGATCCGTTAATAATACCAGAAGAAAGAAGTTCATCAGACCCCCGCTGAAAGGCAAAACCAATCATCAATTAATGAAATAGGTTTTAGATAATGGTTTATATTTACTACTAAAAATATTAAAAGCTAATTAACTTAATATTTTAGTATGAAGACATTTAGAAGTTCTTGAGCATCACAAAATCTAAAGTTTGGAAGTGAACTGTATGATAAGGAAAAATTATAACACATTCACATGACTAATAATAGCTTTAAAAAAACAATTGCCATTGCAAAAATGGGAGTATAATCTTTCAACCATTTTTCCCCCAAACTCCAGTTCCCCAGGATGTGTTACTTTAGTACTAAACTGTATTTAGGTGGTTGCATTCTGACATTCTTTTTATAATATATATAAACATTCAAGTAATTTTTGTTGCCCTCCTTAGAATCCTGATTTTTCAATACCTATATTTTTTAAATAGAACTCAAAATACAATTTATTTCTATATTGAACAAATTCTTTAAAATCAGTGATTTTTCAACCATTAATTCTAATGTGTACTATGTCTTAAATATTTTATTCAGAAAACTGAAAATCTCAATTCCCCCAAAGATAAAGATTAAGACTTCACTTAAAGCATAGGTCTTCCTAATAATTTCTAAAATGTAGGTCTTATCGGGCTTTGTAGCCTTATAATTATCAGACAAACTATGTAGTTCACTGGCTACATGGAGATATAGAAAGATAAAATTTTTTACAATTTTAAATATAGTAAAAATCTAAATGTACCCAACATGGTTTTTATGTATGAGAAATTTGGTAAAGTATGTGTTACTAATAGATATATTTTCTACATACATGTGAGGTTAGGATCAATGTTTCATTTGAAAATCAAGTTAGTTTGATATTAGAATCCACTTCCACTATTTCTGGCAATAATATATTAAAATGTCAACAAAATATTATAATTACATTAAAATGTAAAAGGCGGGTCAGGCTTTAGCTCAGTGGCAGAGTCTTCCCCTAGCAAGTGTGGCACACTAGTTTCCATCTTTAGCACCATATGAAAACAAACAATAAATGCAATCTGTCCATCTAAAAAACTGGGTATGTAGGCCAGTGGTAAAGCACTCCGGGTTCAATGTCCAGTATTACAAATTTTAAAAACCCACTTTGAATAAAAGTTAAGACCATAAGTGTACATGCATGAAATTAAACAACAAATCCCACCATTATGTACAGCTATAAATCACTAATAAAAAAAATACAGAGAAAAAAAGACCTTATCAACACACACCTATCAGAACTAAAATAAAACAGTGACAAACTCTTGACAAGGATGTGGAAGAATCTGGCTCTTTGAATACACAACTGGTAGGAATGTGAGACAGTACATCTTGAGGGTTTTTTTGTTTTTTTTTTTTTAACTAAATATAAATTGTTATCTTAAAAGATGACATGCTCTTGGAAGGGTGGGAATATAGCTCAGTGATAGAGTGTTTGCCTAGCATGTGTGAGACCTGGTTTGAGCCCCAGGACTATAAAAAAAAAAAAAAAGACATACTCCAAAATAAATAATATGATTTTACTCATACAATATTCTCAAAATAACAAAATTATAAAGATGAAAAACAGATTGACCATTTGCAGTGGGTACAGACACTTGGGGGAAGGTGATATGATTATAAAAGGGTACCAATAAGGGAGATCTTTGTGGTGATAGCCTAGTTCTATATCTTGATTTTGGTGTTAGTTACATGAATCTGTATATGCCATAAAATGAAACTGAAAAATAGATATGGAAATAAAAATGCCATATAAAGGCATTGTATCAGTGTCTCCATCCTTGTTTTAATAATATACTATAATTATATAAGACATAAGTATTGAGAAACTTGGTGAAGTGTTCATAGGACCTTTTTATGGTATTTTTACACTTTGCTATGAATCTCTAATTGCTTAAAAATTTTAAAGTAAAATAAAAACAATAAGATAAGAGATATTTCATGTTGAGGCAGAGAACTCCTACTGGCTTGAGAGGCTTCTTAGACTAGTCATCACTAACACCTGTGCCGAACCCACCCACGGTTCACTGTCACTGTTCATCCCCACACTATGCTTTAAAGATGAACAATATTCAAAACAGAACCACATGGATTCCTTATGGAAATCTATGTGTAAGGTTAAAAAAAAAAAAAAAAGAAACTATAATTATAGAAGAGAGACTACATACATCAGAAAATAATATAATTTTAAATTTGTTCATATAGTAGCCTCTCCTAAATACAAAGGGATACAATACTCAAGGAAGAGGCAAATAAGAAATTGTCTAAAGGAATAAAAGTGAGATTGGTGCAAAAATAAATAAAGAAACAGATACCTCAAAAGTCAAACATTTCAAAGGAAAGGATTAGAAAGTAAAAAATGCAAACAATTTTCTACCATCTAAATAAATTACCTGCTGTAAGGAACCAACTCTTTCTATAATTTTAATATTAAAAAAAAATAAAAAAAGAAGAAATGTTCAAGAAAGCACTTTCCTGGATGCACCTGAGATTACCTGAAAGACTTCTAGAAAATAAATTTAGCTGTGAATACAGGTCCCAGCCATGGCTTGCCAGCTGAGAATTTTAAAAGTTCATGGCAGTCTTCATAATGCATACTTTTAATTTTTGGAGAAAAAGTGATTCATGTTTCTTCTATTTCTATCTCATTCGATAAATGGTTACCTAATTTCCTACCAAATAAATATCTAACCATTAACATGAAATTATTTTCTGTTATTTATTGAATCAAGTCTAAATATACTGTGATAGCAATTAAAAGCTCTAATCTGGATCCCCTTCTCAGCCATATAATTTTCCCCAAATACATCAGCATTTATGCTGCTTGTTTTTATCTTCATCTTCTGCCTCAAACACTATCTCTTCACTACTGGTCACAGACAATGGTACTACATTCTTTCATCCCAAATGTAAAAAGATTCAACTTAATTTTGTTTTCAACATGACAATGTGTGTGGTTCTAGGACTTTAGTATAGTTCACATAATATATCCTTTCTGTATGAATAATATCAGTATCGAGTTTTTTCAAATATGTGTACAAAGTTTTTTCTCAGCTACTTTGAGCTCTATTATTGCACCTTTACTAGATTATATTTCATCACAGCCTGTGTGTCAGGTGTAAAATCTCTGCCTTGGCTGTGCATTATAATCTTATGTCCAGTTTTAAAATAAATGCTCTACACCAGGTCTCACTCAGAGATTTTTTTTTTAATATTTATTTTTTGGTTATAGTTGGACCCAATACCTTTATTTCACTTATTTATTTTTTGTGGTGTTGAGGATCGAACCCAGTGTTTCACACTTGCAAAGCAAGTGCTCTACCGCTGAGCCACAACCCCAGCCCTCATTCCAGAGATTCTTAATCCATAGGTCTACAATAGAACCTGGACACCTAGACAGTTCCAAAGCTCCATAGCTGATTGTAATATGTAGCCAACTGAGAACCACCACAACAGATATGTAATGAACACAGAGCAGAATAGTAATGCAGTTAAAAATGTAGTCTTCTAGAGTAAATCAAATCCAGGTTTGAATTTAGGCTCCACAAAGTAAATTACCTTTATATTATACAAATTATTTAAAACCCTCTCTAAGACTCAGTTTGCTCACTTATATGAATCATAATGATACCCACTCTGATGAGTTGCTCTGAGGATCATTATTTCTAGTATATAGGTTTCATTAAACACTGGCAATAAGTTTAAATAATTACTTGGTCCTTTTCAAAAGCTATATATGCCAATAGTTACTTATATTCAATGCAATTAATATTGGAAAGTAATCACCTAAAAGTGAGAATTATTCTTTCAATATGGAAAACTTTCCAAAATTTCTAAAGGAAACATTTCCTTAATATATTTTTTTAATTTCCTTCTCTCAGATAAATTATAAAAGACTTGATTTGATAAAATGGTCTTAGAAACTGAAAGCAGTAATTTCATATTCTATGTAGCAAACTCTTAAAATGTGTATCCATTTTTAATAACTAGAGTTGATTTTTAATTTGTTTAGAATTGTATGGGAGATTAAAATCTCATTGATGATTAACCTTAACAGAATAAAAACAAAACATGTTATTTTCCTATGCATTAGGACTTCTCCTCCAGAATACTGTGATACTTTTTTTAAGAGGGGAAATGTCCTTTTTATATGTTACCATCCTTATTTAAACCTCTATGCATACTCATCCAATTACCTCATTATCTGTAGATTTTAAATCATTTTTTTCATTTTTATGATTCATTCATCTTACTACGCATTTTGTGAAGTTACAATATGAATCTATGAGTGTCTCTATAACCCTTTCAACTGATAGGTTTTTCAAGTTGTTAAAGTCTTCACAATTATTTTAAAAAATTATGTCATCTATAACTATTTCCCTATTATTAAGTAACTGGGCTTCCAAATTATTGCTATAAATCATGCTGCAATAATTCTTTTAGAACAGCATTTTTCCTGTATTTTTATCTGTAGATGGGAGAAAATCTTTGCTATCTACTCTTCAGAGAGAGCATTACTATCTAGAACATGTAAAGAGCTCAAAAAACCTTTACATCAAAAAAAGTCAAATAACCCAATTAATAAATAGGCAAATGAACTAAATAGACACTTCTCAAAAGAACAAATACAAATAGCCAATAAATGCATGAAAAATGTTCAACATCATTAGCAATTACAGAAATGCAAACCAAAACTACACTGAGATTTCATCTCACATCAAAAAACGGCAGTCACCAAGAATACAAATAATAATAAATGCTGCAGAGGATGTGGAGAAAAAAGGAGCACTTTTACATTGTTGGTGGGACTATGAATTAATACCACTACTATGGAAATCAGTATGGAGGTTCCTTGAAAGATTATGCATGGAACCACGACATGACCCAGCTATGCCACTCATCAGTATTTACCCTGAATAATTACTACAGTGATACATGCATACTCATGTTTATAGCAGCACAATTCACAATTCAAACTATGGAACCAGCCTAGGTGTCT